CCAGGGATTCAGGCTGGGTTTGATCAGCACTGGGACATCCCGGCCAGGGATTTGGGATGGGTTTGATCAGGATTGGGGCATCCCAGACTGGGATTCGGGATGGGTTTGATCAGTATTGGGGCATCCCAGACTGGGATTTGGGTTTGATCAGGATTGGGGCATCCCAGACTGGGATTTGGGTTTGATCAGGATTGGGGCATCCCAGGCTGGGATTTGGGATGGGTTCGGTCAGGATTGGGGCATCCCAGGCTGGGATTCGGGATGGGTTTGATCAAGATTGGGGCATCTCAGACTGGGATTTGGGATGGGTTTGATCAGCACTGGGACATCCCGGCCAGGGATTTGGGATGGGTTTGATCAGGATTGGGACATCCCAGACTGGGATTTGGGGTGGGTTTGATCAGGATTGGGACATCCCAGACTGGGATTCGGGATGGGTTCGGTCAGGATTGGGGCATCCCAGACTGGGATTTGGGATGGGTTTGATCAGGATTGGGGCATCCCAGACTGGGATTTGGGGTGGGTTTGATCAGGATTGGGGCATCCCAGACTGGGATTCGGGATGGGTTTGCTCAGCACTGAGCGATCCCAGTGTTTCCATGGAGCCACTGGGATTTGGGATGGGTCTGCCCAGCATTGGGGCATCCTGGAATGTTCCACAGAGCTGCAGGGATTTGGGATGGGTTTGCTCAGGATCAGAGTATCCGGGCCAGGGATTTGGGATGGGTTTGCTGAGGATTGGGGAATCCTGGTGTGTTCCACAGAGCTGCAGGGATTTGGGATGGGTTTGGAGGAGAAACGGGTGGTGCCGGACTCGGAGCTCGTCAGGAGTTCACCCAAGGGTTTGGATGGACAGGTCCCGCTGGGTGTGTTGTAGGGGATGATGTCCCATGGGGAACTCATCCCAAAACTCTGGTTTTGGGAACAATATCCCACAGGGAGCTCCTTTTTGGGGACAGTATCCCACAGGGAGCTCATCCAAAGGTGGGAGGCTGGCTCGGGCCAGGATGGTTTGGAGGCAAAGCCCGAGCACACCCCGGGTCTATTTCTGGCTCTAAGAACATTGGGCAAGAGCAATTCAAGACGAGCAACTCGGAGCTAAAACGGGA